AATCTTGTTTTTCAGTGATACAAAGCCAGTCGAGCCACATTATAGCAAGAATGCTTCAGACTTCGTTTCCGCCGCCTGTATTTTGGATCACACCCTTTTGGTTAATATCCATCATTCATGATCAAAGATGACAATCGGTGTGTGGACACGTTTCGCCGTGTTGACGCGTGATGAATAAGGTAAGTTTTATCTTAAATGAAAAAGGCTACCGACCATTTCCTGTTACTAGCTAAACAGTCAATCAAGCAGTAATTCGATCATGCATTATGTAAAGCTGTCAGTTCTACCAGGGCTTAAAAAACTCGCATAATAGAAATGAGCCATACAGTTTAAAACTCATAAACTATATAATGTTGAGTTATAGACTTATTGGTACATATTTTGACAGTGTTACATACTGAAATAGAATTTTCTGATTTTATGGATAACAGCACGAAACAAATTCTTCATTTAACGCTGATCTGACGTGATGACAGAACTGGATGAGTCATTAGCTAGGAATAGGTAGTGTAATATGCAGTCTTTTATAATGATTCATCCATCATGAGCAATGTAAAATCCATTGCTTTTTCACTTTATGGGCCATCGGTGGTGAGGATATCACTGAAGAACAAGGTATCTAGATACATATTTTTACTACAAAAATGTTTATTTATACATACAGTTAATTTGCCATACATCAAGGATATCAAGCCGTTGACGTTTTCGGTTCATTGCTAAACGGCCACCAGTCCATCAGAGATGCGATGCTGCCATACGCGAAACCTTATTAGATAATCAGCACATAGATAAAATCACTGCGGTTGATTTACCTGAACTGAGCGCGTAGGTCATTCTCCTAGCCATGGCTGACCGTACGCTCGACTTCGTGTTGATCAGCAAGTAAATAGCCACAAAAGCGCACGTTGATGCACTGACCAATCGACAGCCGAAACAGTCTTTCTGCGTCGCCGAGCTCATGGACCACCGATGGCCCTGCTCTTTCGAGGCAGTGACTGCAACACCCCATGAAGGACAAGTATAATAATCGAATAAATCGAGAAAATATTTTTTCCGTAAAAGTCAAAAAAGGAACTTTTTTTAAAGACTTTTTACTAAAAGTTAAATTCAAGACACAATACAAATCAGTTGCGAAAAAACGTGCATCAAACAAAACTACTTTATGACTGATTTTTGATAACAGAAAGTAATATGACTTTTCATACATAGATCATCACCTTAAACTCGTGTTTGTTGTTATGTTATGCTTTTCAACTGGGTAGCCTGACTGTCCATGTTATTTTAACCTTAGATATCAATCCCCTCGACTGCATATGTACTGTCTTAATTAATGCTTGCTAGAGACTTAAATGAAGCAGGAGGCATGCACGGATTAGAACTTCCGGACATTAAGGAGAAACTGAGATGGATAAAATTTTACACTTCTAATATTTAAAAACGTTGAAGCTGCGGTACGGTATCAACACACACGTTAGGTACATAAAATTCTACGATCCACAGTGGTGACGACCACTCGTCATCTTCAAAATAAAGGTACCACATTTATAGATATAACTATATCACGCTCGGTCCGTCTTCAGAGCATCTAAAAATGAAGGACATTCGTGCATATCCAGTTAATTCGTCACAAATGATAGCACCGCGCTTGTCAGTCTTGAATGACCGGTGCTGCATGTTTACGTGTCACTAACACCGAACCCATAGTCACGAATGAACAAGTAAGGTTTCTTTGATCTTGGGGATGATGCGTAATGCGAGCAGGTCAGCTAGTAACACGAAACACAACAACGAGACAATTATTTATGAACATAAATTATTCCTCTCTTGGTGCTGGCATTGGTGACTTATAGTAAAGGTATTGGAAAACTGAGAGTGAAAAGGCCATTCCAAGGAAACATTCTTCAGGTGCAGACAACTCATCCGCAGCAAGTGAGTGCAGTTATCTGTGCTGACCAAGCAAACAACCATTCTTACGCCCAACCTTTACTGCCGAAATGCGTCCTTATTTGTCATGGGTATTAAACCACAAACAAAAATATGGTTTATACCTGGAGCTGATTATCACAGTGGATAGTCAGCTGTCAGACAGGCCAAGGTTAAATGATGTCCTAAAAGACCATCCGATCAGACAGTTTGGCCGTACCTCTCCACCATAATGACATGACCACACTAGAATACCATGCCTTCTCTGTTTTCCGAAAATCAACAATTTATTGCCCATTTGTCGTCTGGCCGAGGCAAAAGAACGCATGGTGAAGTGACTGTTCAGGGGGTTCAGCGGTTAAGAAAAATTCCTGGCACTTCCGGAGTTTTAAATCAGTGTTTTGCCACCCCTACCGAAAAGATAAGGCAAATATACATCTCACGTGATAGTGATGATACCTTTACTCAGCGATTCTACTCACTGAAGCATGGCTCCTGGTTTTTCAGATGTCATATTTGCACCATCTGTTACTTTATGATGCATAGGCTGAGATGAACTTAACATGATTTTATTAACAGTCAACTTACAGTACACTGATAAAACGACGAACTGCAAGTCATTCAGTCCTTGATATTTGACATTTTTTATCAGAATTCACTACTGACCTGTTCGAACATGCTTAAGAAGCTTCCGCTGAGAACGTTACTTGATTACCCTCTTTCATCTCGTGATTTTTCCATGAACAAAATAGGTTTAGGCATTCAACACTGGTTTAAATTCTACAGTATTTCGTGAGTAATTCTTGCGCCAATAATTCGTTTCCGCTTTTGTAGTAAATCAGAGCGAGGTTGTGGGCGGCGTAAATCCTCAGATCGAAAGGATTCGATAAGTACTGGCTGTATTTACTGCTGCTGCCATTATTCTTATCGTTATTAGGCACTATGCAAGGAGGCAGTTCCAACACTTTCTTGTAATTGTATGCGGCAGCGTAGAACATTCCCAGCTGATGCATCGCTCGGCCCCAGTTGTAGTACACTTCTTGACATTCACCACGGAGTTCATCATATTTGGAAAGGAAAGCGAAACCCTTAAAGAAGCTAAATGAAAACAAAAAACACAAAGGTCTCAGCAGAACAAAAAAGTACCTTTTTCTTCATTCTTAAGTTGTACGCCTCTTAGATAGGTACACAAAGAATTTAAATGTATCCGCTATCCAAAGAAAAACGCAAGAATTAACACGGATATATTCAGTGAGGCAATACAATACGAGACTTATTTTAAATACGCATTTGGTGACCTCATTTATTAGGCTACATTGTAAACACGATCCTCTCATTTATTGTAAATGAGAAATAGAAATATTAGACTCAATTTATTCAGGAATACTGAATTTCAAATGAAGCCACATCTCTTGTTCAGGGGCAGGACTAATTAGTGTACAGTTCGGATTAAAGCCGATGGTTAAAGAACGTTTGATATGGTGGATAAGATATATCGCGATAGATATGTTCTTATAGAAAAAGAAAAATGCTTTCGGTCTGGCCACAGCATATCTGACCAGGCATTCGCCTACGACAGACTGTTGACCTAGAGAAAGCCTATGATCGGATCCCGTGTAACAGTATGTGGACGTGCCTGCGAAAATATGGGATATCATATGTTACGTCCTATGGACCATCTTATCACTGTATTTTGATAGCAGGTGCTGCGACAGAGTAAATGGCGTTAAGTTGAAACCTTTCAATGTCGGCACTTGTCTCCGCCAAGGCTAAGTCATGTCTCCTCTTCTGTTTGTGTTTTACATGGATAGAATAGTCAGAAGCAGCCAAGGCGATGAGTGTATCGGTGTAGATGTGGAGACGAGAAGGATGCTGTTTGCAGACTACCCTGCTTTATTGGCATCGTGTAAAACTGATGTAATGGGCTCTCTAGAAAAACGAGTGCGACGTGGCCGGAATGCGTGTGAACGTATCGAAAACGAAGTTTACTCCTGTCGTTGCTCTCTTCGATTAAACAGAGAGCTAGTGAAGCAGATGGAGAAGTTTAAATATCTCAGGGTCGTGTTTACTAGTGACAGAAAAGTTGAGGAAGAGATTGACCGGCAGATTGGAGTAGCCAGCGGCGTTCTGGGTGGATAAGCCCGAACGGTTGTGATTGAAGGAGA